ACAAGTGGGGTCGAATCAAATGCACATGCACGCATGCACCTCAACAAACCAACCACTTGATTGATGTGTAAATAATTTAAAGTAATTTTGACTTTGATATTAAACTTTAAATGAAACATTCCTGCTGTATATAAATAAAATGCGCAAATGCTGCGGCCAAATTATCAATAGTTTGTCTCGTTTGATGTGCTTTTCTAAACGATCGTTGCTCCAAACAGTGGCAACAATAACATGCATGCATTTCATAAATTACCGCTTTCAACAGTCATTCAACTATTTATTTGATCAGATTTCAGGCGCATGCTGTCGACGTTTTTTTCCCCCCATTCAACCATCGCCATGCAATCACTGCTTTCGTATGCAATTTTTGTGGAAAAGTTCATGGAGCGACCCATGCATTTTATATACACACACGTGTGTGTGTATTCGATTGCTACACATTTTTCATCATTCGATTTGCTTAGATCGGCTTAGATTGTATGTTTTTAATCAATAAAACAACAAGTACATTGCAAAACGTACAATGTTTACAGTTTTACTATATGAGCACATATATTGTATGTCTGTACGCTACACAGAAATAAAATCAAAACATCATACTTGCATCGATTGTACATAATAAAAATAAAAACCTTTGAAAGAAAAAAAAAGAAGAGAGAAAAAAACCCACAACTATTCCAACTAACTCTATAAATAGAGATGCAGAAATATTTATATAAAAAAAAAGAGTATACATACACACGACACAACATATTAGAAACTATGATTCAATGAAAAGAGAAAAAAACTTGTTTTGCGCACACGAAATTCTGTTATGCGATTGCAAATGTGCTTCATTCAATAGTTTTCAAATCGTGACAACAACGACAAATCATACGAAGATCGTGATACAAGAGTAAGATAGAAACGAATCGAATAATTGCTCTATAGAAAAGCTCCCCATGTACCAATTCATTTAAAAAATCGACGCCGTCATTTTACTAAATTGAATTGTTTATTCATTCACGGTTCAGCGATATGTGATATGGACAGTACTTTCACAAAATAATAAATAATATGTATATAGTTGCGGTGGCGATACAATATAAAACCATTATCTAGCACATTCACAAAGTCTCCATTTTCCAAAAATAACTTCAAATCGAATGTTTATTCATTTGTTTCTTTATTTTTACGTTTTTATAGACAAAATTCTTTTATTCATAAGTAAAAGAAAGTTGATTGTTATTTTTGTTGCTGTTCTCTCTCTCTCTCTTTATGATTTAGCTAATGGAAGTTGACACTTTTGCTTTATTTTTCTCTATTACTTTTGAAAAGAGATAATTTTTCATTGAAGATCGGGTTTCCCGAAAATTAGCCCCGAAATTTCGCAACTTTCACTTTATATTTAGAAGAAAAAATGTCCCATTAATACATTTCACGGCATTTAACGGTACTCATTTCAATAAAAATATCAATCGATTCAATAAAGCTGATTTTTCTGTGCATAATTCACTTGTTGAAAGTGTACAAAAGTGACCGATCAGAGATGAGAAGATAAAGCCTGTATAATAAATGAAGTGAAGAAGTCAAGGCCAATATATTTTTATTGCATTGCAATGCAACTATGGATAAATATTGGAAAAGTGAACGAACAAAAAACAAACAAAAAAACAACAACAACTAACGCAATACAACGAAAAAAAATCGCTTTCGCGCATAAGTTCGATTGTAATCATAACAATTATAGAATAGTAATTCTCTCGGCCTAATGAAGGAAAAAACAACAACAGATAATCAGTTATTGCATTGTTTGCAACAAAAATGTTCAAACAAAATTAAAACCAATGCCCATCCATATTGCAAATGAGATTCCGCAGCAAATTTAAGGTGGAATATCAATAGCTAATTATAAAAATGGAATATAAGCGCCAATACGGTTCGTGATTTATGTAGTTTCAGTGTTTTTTTCCTTCTTCGAATCTATCGGCAGAAAAAAATAATTCAAGTACATTTTTTTTATGGAAACGGTGAAAAATGTTAAACATTATATTGAGAACGCAATTGGAAAGGTCACTTTTGAAATAGTAATGAAAAGATGACGATGATTATAATGTGTAAGACTATATGTTGCGTAAAGAAAACGAGAAACGATGAGGAACAGTTTGGCTGAGAACAATGTATGATTAGGCTAATTTTGTTGCATGCAAAATTAATACCAACATATTCAAATAAACGACCGAAACATTAACGCTTCGGGGATATTTCGTACATTTGATTCAATTGGTGTGTCGATTTACATGGAATTAATATTTATTGTTTGCGGCTTTTGCAAATCTTTTATGCAAATTCACCGATAATAATTGCTACTGACGGAAAACACACACACACACGAACACCGATTGAAATCGAAAACGGGAACAATAATATCATAAAGCATCCGTTATAAAACAATTGCGTGCATATTATTATTATATCAGCTTCTAGATGCGGAATTAGAATATCCGAATGTGATATATAAAAAAAATAAATAATAATAAGCCACTATTCTTGACATCAGAGTTCAATTGAATTGATTTTTGTCAGGTGATATTTTTTTCTTTTATTCTCGTCTCTTATTTCGTAATGTAATTAGTGACGGCGGCGATCGCAATTGTGTGTATTGTGCGCAATATGGTGATCAGTACACGCGTTACGTACTACATTATTCCTCCTCATTAAGTTTGTGCGCTTTGTGCGCTGTCATGTAAACGCAATCAACTTTAAATCTTGATTCAGAAGAGAGTTCAAATCATGCATCAGATACAACATTTTCATGATGAATGTGTATGAGTGTTTTACGTCAATTTCACAATCTTTCTCACTCGCTCACTGTTCATGTCAATGCGCCTAGAAAGAATATAGAATAGTTTATATTTTTCAAAGGCAACTGAGACTGTGTGAATTTATTATTTAACAAATCTATCTCTGTTTCTCTCTTCGTTTTGTTGCATACGCAAACGAATTTTTCGTTTTCGTTTTAACGTTTCTCTAGTTTTTTTTAAAAGAAAAAACGATACTAACTTTGAACATTTTGCCAAGTAGTTGGTTTTAGAAAAAATCGTAAATTTCCAAAAAGGTTAAAGACATATACTGCGGTCAGTCTTCAGAAACATATGCCAAATACGCATCGAATCAAAATCTATCTCTGAAGGAAAGAGCAAAAAAAAGAAAGAAAACGCAAACTGTCTGTTATGGAACGTAAATTGATCTATAAGTCATATACTTATGTAAAATCAGTGTAAATTTGACGAGTAATTAAACATCAAACACAATTTACAATCATTCATTGATCGTCGTGGTGTTTCAACGTCACTCATGTCAACATCAATAAATATGTTCGGTTTACTCGATATCTTATAATTGATTTCTATTGCTCTTTCGTTCTTTTCTTTCTATTTTTTTCTCACATCGAATGTTCTCGATTTGAAAGGCCATAGTTCAGACACGGTAAACACGGAAAGAAACAAGCAAGTGTTTCATTAAATTGATTGAGTATGTTTACATTTTTGGTGTACAGATAAATCGATAGCATTTGACTTATTACGCCCGAAAAAAAAACATTGCGGCGAATTCTCACACATATATTATATATGCATACTGAAAATGGCATGATTGTCTCTAAATAATTGTTTGTTGCTTTTTTCGTCTCGGATGCCATTTATATCACAGAGAGCAAGTGAGAGAGAGAGAGAGAGAGAATAAATAAATAAACAAATAAACGATGGAATTTTAGAGCTGAACAAGCAGGTTTAATCAACAGCGAGTTTTAAATTTAGACCGTTTTCAAGCGGACACAAATCGTGAATCAACTTTATTAATATTGATCGCGATTTGTTTACCATGAAATTTACATAATTTCGACGTTTCCGAATGCTAAGGAAACTAATGCAAAAACAAAACCAAAAAAAGTGCTATCATTATAAAATGCAGATGGTGGCAGTCTCACGTGAATGCTAAGCATCCGGACTTAATATACATCCAACCTGAGCATTAACGTTTCTGTGCATATCTATGTTTGTGCGATACTTCTCCGGTGCAGTTTAACAAGATGCGAAATCAGGCCGGGTCGATGGCTCTTGTACTTGTTTTAAAATGTGGGAAATGAATGGTTTTTTTCTTCTTCGTTCATTGTTGCACCGAACTAGATCGAATGGAATGACATTTTGACAGAACGTGTCCGTACCGCCGATTGAAATAAAGTTCTCAATCTCTTGTTTTCTCTCAATTTATAATGACCAATCAGGTAACCATGTTTTCTTTCAACTGGTTCTAGCCACATTTTGTTGCCCCGCCGACCGACTAATATCTTAAGCGCATTTTTTTTTCGCAACACGGAATCGCCTTCGTGTGATGATTGAATTTCTGGGCGATATTGCTACGTAGTATTTATTTGAATACTTGTATTCGTGGTAACATATCGCATGTATCTTCTACTATTATTTTTTTTTATTCGTTCTTACTTCAACACCTCGAAACATGTTTGCGATGTGTGTGTATATAGTTTTTTTTTTTCGTTTTACATTTATTATTTCTTCATTGTTCTGCTTCTGTTCAGCTGCAACGAAACGTGGTCTATTCTCTTCACAATTACTCATAAAAAGTGAAACTTTAGTTCCAACAATAGAAAATGACCAGTATTTTTGCACATTAAATAACATGTACAATTTGAGCACATATTCTGAAGTGGTCGATACGTGCGGACCGCATTTAGCATCTATATTGAAAGGATTTATAATAAAATAATTATTTATATTAATTTGCATTTTATGCAGCTGCACATGAGATCAAGTACACACATTTTTAAAAAAACTATATTTCATTTATTTCTAAAGACAATTACTCTTCAGACGGAATTATTTCTGTTCTTTTTTTTAATCTCGTTTTTTAAAATTGATTCCTTTTTTAAAAAGTCGCTTCTTAATTTCGCTACTATAGCATACATTTTTTTCCTGGATTTTTAATTGTATATAATTCTCGTTTATTTGGTCTGTCTCATTTTCTGGCGCTCGTTTTGTGTGTCTTGAATTTGTTTCCTTTTAAAAATGGATTTTTTTTTTCGTTTTTCTTGCTTTGATATCGATTTCTGTTTTAGATTTTGGTTTGAATATCGACGTGATTTTAGTCATTATGTTTCGCATTTTTAATGTTGTCCATTTTTTTTGTCATGAATGTGTGTGTGTGTGTGTCTATAGAAAATATATGCTAGCATTGCCGATAACGAGATGCTAAGTAAAAGTTGTATGACCTCGGTTTTGTGCAGATCAATGTTGTTATTGGATGCAGCTTTATTTTTTTTTTAAGTTAAATCAATGGTATAATTTTTCCCACAAATAATTGATACTTTTGCATGAATGCACTTGAATTTATTTCGGCAATTTTGTCTATGTGTGTGTGTGCGTGAGAGAGAGTGTGGTTTTTTCGACCATCATTTGAGCAGAAGATCATAAAACAGCTGCTTTGCATTGCGTATAGACAGTCAAAAAATTGCGAAAATGATATGAAAGCGAGAAGACCTCGACGAACTGTATTATTCCAAAAAAGTGAGGCACATTAAGAACTATGACGCAGAAACATGAATGTGATTTCAAAATATGCACACGTAATTAAATAACAAGTAGTAGAATATTTCGGCGAACCAGTTTCATTTGAAAGTCGACATGGATTAATTTTTTTTCCAACATAATGAAACAATCAAACTTACAAACGAAGTAAAATAAAAAAACTATTTTTTGTAATTAGAATCCACGCATACGCACAGTCCATCTCATTTTTTCGAAATGTTTATATGAATCAGTGTCGATGAAGCGAATAGTAAAAAACATACGCACACGCGCGCGCTCATTTGATTTCACATTTGCTATTCAATACTGTTTTCTTGTGTTCGCGTGCGCGTAGCGAGAGAAAGAGAGAGATCCGTGTTTATTGTTTGTTTATTTATGGAATGAAACCGATGATAACGCGCATAAAAATGGAACTTTGTACGAATAAATAGATGTAGCTGCAGTTTGTGAATTTACGATGGGGGCCGCCACAATAGTGTTGTTCAATTAAAACCGATCACATCAAGCACGAATAGGTTACATCGCAAAAATTCACCATGCCGGCCTTTGTTCAATATAGGTAATAGCGTGTCCTATCAGTGTCAAGTATGACTTCAAATTGGGTCAGTATGGCTATGTGATATGTTTTTTTATCTTCTCATTTTTATTGTTTGAGTTTTTGTAGCGATGAGTTCTGTTGATTTTTTGAGGTCTGATTTTTTTTTTATATTTATAAAATTAACGAGTTCTTTTGAATGAATTACAGCAGCGACAGAATGGACTGTGTGATTCTTATTTTTTAAAATATATTTTGCAAGCCAAATAAAGAATGGGACTTTTTGCGCAATCGGTAATTTTCCACAATACATAATTTACATGTTTTTCTCGAAAGGTTGGCATCATTTCGGTTCTGTTTGTTTTGATTATCCGAAGTTTCTTTTCTTTCCATCTCTCGTCAAGAACAAGTCAATTTAGAATGGAATCAAGAGTTTAAACTTGAAATCCAAACGATCGAACTGGTCCATCGAGAGACGGTTTTACGTCACGAAAATCGCAGCTCATAAATTATGCTCTCGCAAATCATAACAAACCAGTCAGAAATTCCAAAATGACGTGATAAATTAACGAAGAAAAAAAAAAAACAAATCGATAACCTTTTTTTTTAAGATCAAAGTTTGGACGATAGAGGAAATTTTTCAGTTAGCAATTAAATCAATTCTCTCCGTTGGAAACAAAATAATTTTTAAAAAGATTATTTATGAAATTTTTACAGAAGGACAGTTGTAATGGATTTTTTATTGATAATTTCTAAAAATAGAGATTCGTTCGAGATAAATGAATAATACAGCATACTGAATTTGTCTAAAGTGATAAACAAATCTGATGGATGGTATTGAAAGGGAAACACGTTTGGTTAGATTCAATCCTAATCACAATACACTTTATTGCTCGCACATACTCGCCTGTTTCTGTATGACGTCGATACCAAAAATATCAACAACAACGTTCGAAGTGAATTAACAGTCAGAAGCACATATATCGAATGGCCAATTATCAACAAACACACACAAAAAACTTTAAACGAACCAAACAATAACAACGAAAACACACAATGTGTCAGCTTTATTTTGGATAAGAAATATGTTGACAGAGACCGCTACGTTTGAACAGCTGATGATTTATTAGTTTAGGCAAGTGTTAAGTGTCGCACAAATGTGATAAAAACAATAAAAACGATCTATGTTTGTTTTATGTTCATTGATCTCAAATGTTGACATTACCTTTTCCATAAATAGATAAAACCAACGAAGTATCCCACGCATATGCAACGACAAAACACCGATAACTCAATTTAATGCCAATTTATGTCACTAGATATGTCAATTTTTGTTGATATTATCTTCTTTTTTTCTAAATAATTTGGTCATTGACTTTGAAACGTCTTCAATTCACTACTTTACGTTTTACTTAATTTAATAATAAAACTTTTTCCACAGAATTAACTATTGAAAATTTGTCGATATAATTGTCTGTATGTTATAAAGTAGCACGCATTCTCGATGAAACTACACTTTAATAGTTCGATTTGGAAACTAGAAACGAAATTTGTAAAAAAAAATCATCAGTTGTTGTTATCTCTTTATCTCTCACTGAAAATTCAATCGTTGATATTATTTTTGTTTTGTTTGTGTGTTTTTGATTAGAAAATTATATAATTGGAACGAATTTGACTTTTGAAAATTGTCGAAAATTACAATTTCAAATTGAACTATTGTAAACTTATGAAAATAACTTTAAATAAAAAAAAATCGTGGAAAAAACCAACAAATCATTGAAATTATTGATAAATCTATAGCGAAAAAAAACAACAGCATAGACTGCGGCGTTGTTTATAAATTACACAGCAGAAAACATCGAATTTTCAGGAAGTGTTGTGCACGAATCAATCAACTTTGATCGACTGTATGTTATGTTTAGCTATATTTTTCGCATTCTCACTCTCTTTCGCTATCTCTTTTTTTAAGGCCAATTAGTGGTGCCGATCTCGAAATTATGTACACAAATCCATCGTCATTTCTATTCAAACACTTTTTTTTTCTCTGCTCATAATTGAAATCCATTTCCCTTGCAAATTTTGCGGACACAACGATGCGGCTGCATTTTTTTCTTTATATTTCTTTTAAAAAAACATGCGCTATCACCTTCAAAGTGGAATTTATGCCAAAGAATATGCATATGACTTTGGAAAATGTGTGTCTTTCACTTTAAAATGTCCCTCAAATCCAAATGTTTCCCACATCATTTAGGAGGAGAATGGATTTTCATTGAATTTATAACATGCCATCAATTTATTGCACTTTATTTTCCTAAACGAAACGAATATAAACAAAAGAGATTCTATTTTCGCGGAAGGTTATATACCTCGAATAGAGGTTTTTTTTCTCTCTCTCTGCATTGATATTTATCGTCTATATGACTCACAGAGACTTCCTATGCAATTGTCTTTCTCTCTTGTCTCCGTTTTGCGCAACTTTAATTTTGCACAATGGATTTTAATCTCAAGTTTTCTTTTTTATTCTGTTCGTAAACAACCTGAAACTCACTTCAAATTTCAGGTATATTATTCATCGTGAAAGTCCAAACAAAAATAAAACCCCATCAAACAAACAAATAATAATATCAACAATTCGAACGTTTGGACAGAAAAAAAAATGATATTAAAAAAAAATAAATAAATAGCTTAATTACAATTGATTTTTTCTTTCTCGTAATAAATAAAAAAAAAATATATCACGCAACAATCAAATGATGGAAAACAACAGCGAATAAGCTAAGAAACGGAAAAAAAATATTTCATCGAAGAAAAAAAAAAAAAATAAATAAATCGCGATAGAGAGAGAGCACTTGCTACCGCACGCGCGATCACTCAAAGTGAACGAGCTTCGAACGAGCGAACCACACAAAATCTCGACGCGAAAAACAATGACTATCGACTGGTGGAACACAAAAATCTGTTTGCAATGTTCATGTGCAATGTATAAAGCGGTCAGGCGAACGAGAGCGAATTCCATGTGTGGCAGCCGCAAATGAATGTTTTCAATGATGATTTTATCTCTCGTTTTCTATCTCTCTCTCTCGCATTCGCTCTATATCAAGTATTGCATATTGTAGAATAGTCGCGACGCGTATGCTTATGCACAAACACATATTTACACAACGCGAAACAAATACGCACTCACAGAAAAAAAAAATACCACAAATAAACAACGATCGAAAATATGGTATAAACAATAGACAATATAGTATACATGCACAAGAAACTTCTCATCTAATTCATTGTTCGAGTTTTCGTAACTCGTCCGGCATAGTTCGAGAAGAGGGAATAAAAGGGCACAGAGTGTTGTTCTGTATGTTGTTGTTTTTTTTAATCAAATCCGCATGATTCATAAGATTTCGTGAAGAACTAGCGTGAACGCGAGTGATTTTGTTTGTTTGTTAGAAAAATTCAAATTAAATTCAATTAAAACATCGTAACAAACTAGATTTGCCACTTACATTCAAAAACGAGAAAAGAACAAGGTACTTGAAATTATCTAGAAAAGTTAATTGTCAATGAAAAAATTATTGTTTCTGCGAAAATTAGTCATTTTTACGTTGTTCACTGGCCGCCCCATTTGATTCACTTACATTTTTGTAAAATTATTCACATTTTTTTCGTGTGCTTTGCTTCGTTTGAAGCCAATTCGATTAATTTTGCGAAAGATTTTGTGTGTGTGCTTTTTTTTTTTTGTTTTTCGTTCTGTGTATTCATTCGTTTTGCTTAAAGTTGGCGCTGTAGCATAACGTGACAGGGAATTGTTGTCAAAGTGGCGCTGTCATCGGTGGTATTTTATAAAAGTCTTCATTGCGGCCACTATATATTTTATTTTTTAATTTGTCAAACTGAAACATCGACTGACACGTCATTTACATCAATTTCATTGTGAATTTTACAAAAGTCGAATTCATTTGTTTTGACGCGGCAATCATCAATTTCAAAACAAAATTTTGTGAAATTTAATTAAAGCATTTTTTGTTTGCATTAAAGTGAATAAAGTCTTGTGAGAATTGAACCAAAAAAATCAATCAAAATGTCACGTCAAAGTAACTCAAACGGTGGACAAAATAACAATGAAGTCGATGAATTGTTCGAAGTAAAAACGTATTTCTACATTGGTGCCTATCAACAATGTCTCAATGAAATTAACAAATTACGTGTAAGTTTGATTAAAATCATATTCATTTCCGCTTGAAAATTATAAATTGCATTGGATTATACTTACAGGGTGGTAGCAATCTGAAGAAGGATTGTTTCATGTATCGTGCTTACATTGCTCAACACAAATATCGTGTTGTTTTGGATGGCATCACCGATAATGCATCAACGCCAAATGGATTGAAAGGCATTCGTAAGGTTGCCGAATACTTTAATTCAATAAGTAAGTCAATTGAAAATTGTTGACCGTCTCTACCTGTAATGAGAACGTTTACTAAGAAAAACATGGTCTTGTTTCCCCGCACAGGTTCAACCGATAAACGAAGCGCAATAGTTAAGTACTTTGATGAGAATAGATCGTTTGGTACTGTAGAAGATGATAATGCTGATGAAGATACCATTTATTCGTCGATAATCTGGTGTTTATCAGCTGCAACCGTCTATTACAATGAACAACTCTATGAAAATGCATTGAGCGTTGTACACACGGCCATTCAAACATCACCCGATTTAGAATGTTTTGCCGTCCAATTGCAGAATCATTTGAAAATCAATCGTTTAGATTTGGCCAGAGGTACGTTGGCAAAAATGCAAGAAAAAGATGATGATGCCACTTTGACGCAACTTGCAACCGCCTGGATTCATATTGAACAAGGTGGCGAAAAATTACAAGATGCATACTATATATTTCAAGATTTTTGTGATAAATTCGTACCAACCAGTTTACTATTGAATGGACAGGCCGTTTGTTTTATTGCACAAGAGAAATATGAGGAAGCCGATGCAGCATTACGAAATAGTCTTGATAAAGATCCAAATAATTTGGACACATTCATTAATTTGATTGCGCTGGCACAGCACTATAATGTTTCCGGTAAATCATCAGAGGATGTTATCAATCGATACTTATCGCAAATCAAGGATTTACATCCATATTGTCAACTGGTCGTCGATTTGGAGCGAAAAGAACAGGAATTTCAACGTTTGTGCGTCAGATATGCGCCAAACAATGAACTTAATGCATAGATTCCTTTTTTTAGAAATAGAAAATTCCATTTGTTACAATATGTTGCTTTCATAAACCAAAACAATATATAATAACCATTAAATTTATAAATAAATGCAAAAGTATTTTCAAAACATTACAAACTTTTATTTCAATTTTATGAAAAATCGTTTTCAATGGTGATTAACAGTATAAGCATAGAAAAAACAACGCCGGTTATTGTTGCCATCGGACCCATCTGTATTTCGAAACATATACAATTATGACGTTGATCGTTATTATAACAAAGGGAATGTATGACGATAATAATCATTGATGTGTGGAAATTAGAACAAATATTTGGACAAATAATTGCCTCAACTGTCATATAAATATTTATTTTCTGTGAATGAGGGCGCTTTTAGAATTTTGTATTCTTCAACTCCAAAAACCAATTCGACATATGTCATCAAAGGAGTTGAAAGGAGTTAATTTTAAATGTGCATATTAATGCGAGTAAAAGAGACTTATACCGTATAGACTTCACCAAAGTCGTTCCGAACGATTATCGATGTTTCACTGAATCGGACTGAATCATTCGTTGTTGAGTTGTATTGAGTTTCAAGTCATTTTTGAATTAGCCGGTATAGTAAGAACGTCTTTCATTGCTTTCAATTTTTCTGAATAACAAAAAAGAGGAGAAAATATCCAGGATGGACGCAATTTCGGAAGAAGTAAAGAAAAGTTTGTTTTTCTTTCTTTTTGTGATTTTCTTGGAATTTAACCAAATTTAATAAAACGGCTTTGAAATTTTCATTATTTCCATTTCAAAATCAACATACACATTTTCAATCTTGTCTTTTAAGAGACTCAGTTTTTACTGTAAAGTATATGACGAATTTAAGGTGCAAAAAAATATCAGAAGGAGCCTGTTTAAAACGCTTATTACAAATAATTTATCAAAATGAATGTCTGAAATTGTGTTATTTTCAATTATTATTTTTTAAATTAATTTTTCGATTTTCGATGAAAATTGAACGAACGAAATAACGGTTAGAACGGATGAAAATACACATGCAATAACAGTATATGTCACATTTATAAACATGCAAAGGAA